GCGAGTCGAGCACCGTAACCACCTGGCCATGCCGGGCCTAGTGGTATGGTTATTCTATTATTGATGTGGATGTTGCAAAAAATATTTTCAATTGTATTTGAAGTAAACTTTTCTTCAAGAGATATGTTATTTGTTAAATTGTTACTACAGTATAAGACTATACCTCTGTTGTTATTTGTGTATGGGAGTGAGAATGATTTAAATCCTGGAATGTTAACATTGTAGTTTTCTTTAGCTAGTGTTTCTGAGATTATCATGATATCGGCTTTGACTTGTTTATTGAGGTTGTGTATTTCTAGTTTTTTGTGATAAGGTCGCCTTGACAATTTTTGTGTAGAATTTTTATTGTGTCTATGTTTGGTTTGTTTGTGGTGTTCGCTGTGTAATTCTAAGGGAAATGTGATGAGGTTTTAAGTTGGGGAGTGGAAAATAGCGTCTGGCTATTGTACAGAGGGCTTCTAAGCATTCTGGGCGTGACGAGAAGGCAGGATATTCGCTTAACTTGACCAGCATAGACAGCAGATTAACGGCAAAATCAGCAGGGTTAAAGGAAGTGTTGTCTTGCTGATGTGTGTGTGTTTCGATAGCTTTCGAGTATAGTTTTGTTGTAGCTGCAGGTTTTGTTGTGTTTGAAGCCTGTGGATTTTGTGCGGTTGGTGGTGTTTCTAACAGTGGCTGACGTATGGATAATGTGGGATATTCTGTGTTAGCTGTAGCAGGAGGAGGGCTTTTAATTTTGAAAAGGACTCTATTTCTAACTTGTGTGAATTTAGGACATGCTCTGTAGCAAGCAGCATGGGGGCCCTGGCAGATGGCACAGGTAACCTGGTTGCGTTCGTTCGGGCATTTTGAGACTTCATGCGGGCCAGCGCATCAAACACATTTAGTGGGAGCCGTGCAGTATGGTTTGCTATGCCCAAACTTTTGGCAATTAAAACATTGCAATATTTGTTTAGCTGGTGTTTTAGCCGTTTCCATGTTGTGGTGTTTGAAGAACAGTGAGCAACCGTTCTTTAAAAGTTTGTCATGACCATCTTTGTTGTCTACTGTTACTTTCACTAGAGGTGTCTTTAATTTAGTTTTGAACGACGTGATTCTTTCTACTTTGGTATTGTTATATCTGATTGTTTGTAATTCGTCTGTAATTTCGTCATCTGCGATTTCGAGATCAACACCTCTGATGACAATAGCTGGTTGAGTGTTTGTGTTTTTTGGTGGTTGGATGGTTGTGTTTCCTTTAAAAATTGTAATGGGCCAGTGGGCTAGTATGTGTGCAAAGTCTTTTGGTGTAGAACATTTTAGAAGGACACCTCCTTTCGGCAGTCTTCGAATATTCTTAAGATTTAGGTTTGAAAAGTGTTTTCTCATTTCTTTAATGATTTGAGGAATTCTTATTTTGGCGGGTATGCCTTCAACAATTAGTGCTGAGATGTTGTATTCTTTATCTTTTTTTGTGTTCCAACATATTAGTTAGATCGTCGGTGGATAGTGGCTATCCAGCGGAACAAGTTGTCACGCCTGACTGCGACTTTTTTGGAGAGAGATTGACATAGTTCTTAATGGTCCTAATAAGGACCGTGGTGAACCCTACTAGTAAAAACTATTTAAATTTGGAAACTTGGGGACAAAATTTTCAAACGTCTTCTCACTACAGAAAAATTACCCAATCCAAAAAACTTATTGTCATTCTGATCCCGATTGCCTCTTATGTCTTGTTCAGGCTCTCCACTGTTATGTGGTTCACACTGCTCCCTTCTGTGGTTCCCATTCTCATTTGTTCTTTCATTGGAACCCTTCCATTTCCTGTGATACTTCTCCTTTTACCCTTATGGGTTGGATTTACCAGCTGATTCACCTGGCTTATTCTTCCCTGTCTCCTGATGTTTGTTAACTCTTCCAAGTCTCCTCCCATCAAATCCATCACCTTACCATGTCCTTGTCTACCTGGTTCCATTGCCCTTTAGAAGATATAGTTCATGCTGGCATGTGGACCACTCCCCATACATTCATCTCACATTATCTTCACCATCTGCCTGTTTTCTGCTCTACAGGTTATTGTCTATTTCCTGTCACCATCTTGAGCTCCATAGTTTCTCTGTGA